GCATCATGGGAGCTGACAGCTGAACTAGGCCACACCTCCCTGTCCTCAGGCAGGTTGTCTTGTTTTTCTCCTGGGACCTGTCGCTTACCCCTAGTGGGACAGGAGATGAGGAGGCCTCAGCTTCAGGGAGACTGACTGCCCCCATCCTAGCACGGAGTCCTGCTATGAGAGACCATGAGAGACCCTTCAGGATTCTGCCTCAAGGAAATGCTGCAGGAATGTCCAGTTCTGTCCCTGGGTCAGATGAGGTTCCAGGATCACAGGATCTGGTCTGTCAATGCTGAGACTTTGAAGGTTATCAGATAAACCATATGACACGAATTACAGTCCCTATAAAAGCATCTTGTAGTCAATGACCACCATGTGACTGTCATTTTTGATAAAAATCTAAGCAGGAAAATTCCTAGAATTGTTTAAACATGGGTTTGTAGCCTTTAAAACGTGTGCAAATTTCTGTGTGATTGTAAGAGCTTATCAGCTGTGATGGAACACACTAGTAATCCCAGCACTCAGGAAGATGAGGCCCAAACACTGAAGTACATTTGAAGTAAGCCTGGGCAGTAGAGTAAAATCTTGTTTCAAAAACTAAATGAACGAAACTATAAAAATGAGAGCTGGCAGGACAGGATGTCCTACCTGGGCACACATGTAGACCCCTTTTCACTCACAGGGGTTCTGTTCTGACCCCTCCTCAGATTTAAGGAGCCAAAACTACAAAAAAAAGCACAGTGGCATCCACCTCCTCAGTAGGAGGCATCGGGCTTTGCAAGTAGGCAGCCATAACTCACACTTAAAGGGGACAGTCCACATCAACAATCATGTGGCTGTGGTCTTTATGTGATCTTCACTTTACAATCTTTTATAGCCCACTGCTTCCTGAGTGCTTCCTAATTGCAGGCTGACCTAGGCTATGGGAAACAGAGAGATGTGCATGGAAATATCTTTGATGAATGTGTTTTCCCTCAACTTCGAATACATGCACATGCAGTTCTGGCACCATTGTCTGAGCATGGGCAGGTGACTTCTCCCTGTAACTTTCAGTAGGATTTGACCTCACATGTGCACACCTCTGATAGACCCATGAAGTGCTAAGGACAGCAGTGGAAGGTGTGATGCTGGGGTTGAGTCATCCTTGCCTGGGACACTTGTAAGCTTGAGGTGCTTATGTGCAACATACCAGGCACACACAGTGTCTCAGCTCTGGCCTAGATGGAAGGAACCAGTTACTCTTGCAGAGCAGTAGCGCCCTCCTCTGGTGGCTGTTATGCATTGCCAGTATAAATTAGCCACTGCTCACCTGCCCTGCTGTCATGGCCCTGATTAGAGAGCTCTGGAGAAAGCAGGAAAGGCAAGCTGCTTTCCTGATGTGTGGCCTTCAAATGACAAGGCAGCATGTGCAGTGTGTGGGTGTGTGGCTCAACAAAGCATAGAAACTGGCCAGCTGAAAAATAACCTGGTTCCCTAAAGAGGGGACATCACATGGCTCTCTAGGTTACTATGCCCTGTAACACTTCTTCCTGTGTAGCCAGGCAACTAGGCCTGAGGTGTGACCACAATGCTGACAGAGGAAGAGGAAGAGGAATTTAACACTGGACTCTGTTGAGATTCTTCCTTGCATCTAAAACAAGCTTCCAATGGGATTTTACTCAGAAACATAAAGTCTCAAGGCCTGTGTGCCACTGCTTAGTCAACGTCTGCCTTTGGCCTGGCAAAGGCTTTATAAAGGAAGTGGGTTTAAATTCAGTTGATTGATTTACTGTATGCTTAGAGTCCTCCGGCACAAGCTGCAGTACGCAGCACCTGGTCTAGTCAGCCCTTCTGGCAGACTTCCCTTTGGCTGTCCAGTCCAGCCCCAGTCAAGGGCGCTTCAATCAGTAAAACAGAATGCTTTCTCCTGATGTTCTCAGAGATCACAGGGGTGCGTACTGGTTAGGGGAGACCAGCTTTCCCCACATTCTTTACATCCTTTGCTCATTCTTCTGACACTAGAACACAGAGCTTAAAGATGACCATTACAGGGCTGCTGATGACTCATTGTTCACAGAGTGTCAGGAATGTCAGGGGTTGTGCTCTGTTATGCTCATGAGCTCACTATCCAGTCAAGGGAAGCCCCGATTCATCCTTCAGGGAAGGAGGCTGCTTGGCTCATTTGGAGCCATGTCTGCCCTTCCGTCAGTTTATAAAGAATTCTCCTATATACTCCCCAGGTTTTACTACAGTATAGATTAACAGGCCAGAGTAGGCTGGAGAGATGACTCAGCAGGTAAAGAAGCTTGCTGCCCAACCTGACTACCAGAGTTCAACCTCAGGACTCACATGGTGGAAAAGAGAGAGCCAACTCCTCCTGCAAGTTATCCTCTTCTGGCCTTTGCACGCATGTTATATGCATGAACACTACACACACACACACATACACGCGTGTACACACACACACACACATTCTCTCTCTCCAGCCAAAATCACTTGGGGCTTCCTTTTTTTTTTTTTTTCCATTTTTCAGTTTGCATCTTTAGCCTGGAACTTCTGTAGATTCCAGAGAAGAGCTAGTAGGCTAGATTATCAAGTTCAAAGGCGACCCCAGCAGCTCATCAGGCCTCTGATCTGCATCACTCCAGGGCACATGAGACCTCCCAGTTTCCCGGACTCAGGGTGGAGTGAGCCTAGCACATTCACAGGCTGTAGGTTCCTCACATGCCCCTGGGCTCTGACTCAACCAGGATCAGCATGAGCTGTGCATATGTGAGGGTGACTTGGATCCTAATCAGCTGTGATGTGGGAGATGCAAGCTGTCTTCATTCCACAGGCATGAGAGGACACCCCGTCTCAGATACTGGGAGCATCACTGGGATCAACAAGTAACCACTGGCTTATGCTGTTGTTCTTCCCAGAGACATGCCGAGCCAACTGTGTGCAGAGACTGGTGAGTTCCGCATCTCCACTAGCTTCAGCTTTCAACCTTAGGTGGTAATTCTCCAGGTTGAAGATTTATATGGAAAGTCTAAGGGCATAGCTTCAGGAGTCAGAGTGTGTCCGTAATTCCAGGAGGGTCCTCACAGAAGCCTTTCATATGATAGGCCCACGCATTACATATGTAACGGTATCAAAATGGCCCTCATTGCTACAAAAAAACTTAAAAGCAACTAATTAGTTCTAGGGCAGCAGTTTAGGGGTAAAACATTTGCCTAGCATGCACAAGGCCATAAGTTCAATTCCCATCACAACACACCAAAACACAACAACCTAACATAGATGACATTTGCTTAAATAAAAGCCCTAAATTTGGTCATAGTTTGCCTTTTCTTTGCTGTCTCTATCCATGCTTCTCTGCATACACATGAATTAGTTCTTTGTATGTAGTTGGGATATATGATAAGGAATCCATCTGAGAAGACTCATTTTTATCCTGAGAATAGCTATGGGCAGGCATTGCATTCTGTGAGGGCCTCCCCGAGTATTCTAGAATGTGAACCATGCTGCTAGGTTCCTGTGCTCCTATCTTCTACTTTTTATCTTTGCCATTAAAGAATGATGACCCTCGTTCCTAAAGGCAGGAAGACTCCGGAAAATTCCCGTGGAAACAGTCACAGCAATAGAAACTGAGAGAGCCCGGCCACTGCTGCTGACCTGCACGGGCCACAAAGGCTGGTGGTTTTAAGCCTTTGGGTCAAGATGTTTTCACAGAGGCTGAAGATACTGAAAATGGGCAGTGATGTGTTTGCAATTGCAGATGTTTGCTTGAGAAGGACACAGCACAGAAAGAGGGAATTTTGAAAAAAAAAAAGTCAAGAGCAAAAAATTGGGGTAGGTGGCTGAGCAATCTAATAGGAGAAGTGGGAAGCTCAAAGGCATTTGCATAAACAGGAGGAGGCTGGGCTAGACAGTGTGCCCAAGAGCTGCTGGTCTTGAGACACTGAACCCAGGCTGGCTAACCTGGGCTATGTTCTCTGAAGTTGGCAGGACCTGACTGCTCTTTGTTCTGGGGGACAGTGAGCTCTCAGCACGCAGCTGGCTTTGAACCGTCCTTTTCATTCTCTTTTCTTTTTCTAAGTGGAGAAAAGAATAACATAAGCAGCGTCCCACGGAACAGACCTACTGTCAGAGCCCGAGCAGCTCTAGGATCACAGGCAAATCATGGAAAAGACGATTCGACCACCTTCCATAAAAATGGGACGAGAGTATTCCTCCCCCGGGAAAGCAGGAAGGGGGAGGAACACTGCTGTGCAAAGCCGTGTGTATTCATGAGGCAACACGAAGGTTAGCTTTGTGTAGACCACAGCTATTTCCCAATAGCAGCTGAGTCACCAGCAGCAGCAAGCACGGCAGCGGGCGGTGCCCAGGCTTGGCAAGCTCACTTCCGCAACAGCATTGTTGTGACACTGAGGGGCTTGCTGATGTCCCCACAGACAAGCAGAGGATGAGAGCAGAGGCCATGAGGAGAGTCCTGTGGAGCCTTAGGGGTCTGTGGTACAGACGGCAAAAAAGAAACAGGTCACAGGGTCATGTGGGAAAGGGTCTACAGGAGGGCCACAGAGGAGACCTGCCCTCCACACTTCAGTTATGTTTAAAAAAACAGTACAGAGGCTGGGGAGATGGCTCAGTGTGTTAAGTGCTTGCTGCACAAGCACTAAACCTAAGGGTGGATCCTCTAAACCCATGTAAAGCCAAAGGCAGTAGTGTGCATCTGATGGAGGCAGAGACAGGAAAATCTCCAGGATCTCGTGGGCCAGCTAGCTCATGGTATGTACTGGTGAGCAACAACAGACCCCATCTCAAATAAGGTAGAAGGTGAGGACCAACACCCGAGGCTGTCCTGTGACCTCCACACATTGCTATGACTCAGTACAAGCTTGTATCTATACACATGAACACACGCATACAAACAAAGATAAACAGAGAAACAAGGACAGGTCCATGCCACAGAAACACAAGCTTGTCCGGTGAGAACAGGCATGCTCACGGTCACTGTGAAAACAGGTCTTCCACTCCACGGCGCTACATACCAAACACATCACTGTCATCTGAGGCTGCCTGAGAAAGCTTGCTGAGGTTTCGCTTCTTCTCAGTTTCTCCATGAAGCTCACCAACCTGGAGAAAAAGCACAACAGAACCCTTTCCTGTGATACAGTGTTTTAGTAACAAGATGCTCAGAATACATTTTGTACATCTTTTATCAAGTAATCCACTCTCCCCATGTCTTTAAGTGGGAGATCAATCTTAGCTCAGGGTGAACTCTCTACAGAGGCCCATTGGCTCTGCCTCTTGCTTGGTCCAGGCGGATGTTTCCACATGAAAGTACTGTGTATCAGCCTGGGCAGAATACAGTAGCCAGACATCTTCCAGTTATTCCAGGGGGTGTGGGTGCAGTTCAGATTTCAAGTGACATCAGGGATAGAGCGACACCACCTCACTTCTTTGAATTCTAACAATAGCTAATTAGAAGTCAATCAGGACTGTAGGGACAAAAACAATGCTAACAGTGGGTAGCCTTGCTGAGCCCACTGTGGGAAGGCTGAGCTACCTCTGGCTGGGTGCCTTGGCACTCTGGTAGGAATCGGCACCTGCCGAGGAAGCTAAGGTTCTTGCCTGTCCTCTGGGCTGCTGTCCACTGTTGTCTGGGACCTTGATAGAGGCATGAATGTGAACTTTATTTTATTTTATTAGTTATTTTATTTTTTAATGTGTGTGTGTATGTGTGTTGTGGGAGGTAGGCACTCATGGGTGTACATGCATGTGTGTGTGTGTGTGTGTGTGTGTGTGTGTGTGTGTGTGGAGGACAGAGGTCAACCTTAGGTGTCATTGCTCTGGAGCCATTCACCTTGTCTTTTTGAGACAAGGTCAAGGCTTGTCGATTAGGCTAGGCTGGCTGGCCTACCTTTCTAGCACTGGGATTACATGTGTGCACCACCACTCCTGGCTTTGAACATGGGTTTTGGGGCTGCCAGCTCTCTAACCTCAAGGATCTCACTATATAGCTCTGCTTGGCCTGGAACTTGCTAGGTAGACCACCAGGCTGATCTTGAACTAGCGGTCATTCTCCTGTCTCTGCCTCCTTAGTGTTGGGATACAGAAGCATGCGACCACTCTTGGCTTTGGAGCCTTATTTTTAAGTTTAAAACATTCACTGCATAGTTTAATTACAAGTGATGAGAGCAGACAGGCTGTTTCCTTACTTGTATGTAACTTGTTCATGTGATTATTTCAATAATATCATGCTTGCACAGGATATCAAATTCAGACCAGCCTGGCAGGTATGTGGCACCACATCCTGTCCTCATTGCATCTCCTTGAGCCCCCTTTTTCCTTCTGCAGTCATCGGAAGGACCTCTTGGGATGATTTCCTTTAGCAGAGAGCCACTTTTGTGGCCCTCGTTCATCACTGTGAGTGCCCCCCTGGAATGCCCTGGAAATTCTTCTGCTGGCTCACATTTGGGATTTCAATAACCAGTGCTGGGCTAGCCCCCATGGACTTCTCACAGAACCTACAGAAAGGACAACTCCTGCAGCTGAGTGAGTAAGCAGCCATCTTTCCAGGCCTAGTGTCTCTAAGCCCCAGGTGGCTGCTGCTTGCCAGCAAGGTACCCTAAGGCTTCTCACAATAGCCTCCATACTATTTGGCACCACTGTTTCCATGGTCAACCTCTCCTTTCCTTCAGCCCAGGACTGTATGATAGGCATGGTGTCCATTTTACATTCTTTCCTTTTGGAGAGTAGAGCAGGAGGCAGGCAGTCACGGAGGCAAGCCCTAGGATGGACCCTAGGTATATACTCTGACTTGTTTAAGTGTGACTTTTGCATGTCACTTGGCCTCTCTGTGACTCATTATCCTTATCTATAAAAGAGAAGAACTGCAAACAGTCTTTGGCATGGAGTCAGTGAGGATTAGCACAGGTGATTTACACAAGGCCCTTAGAATGTGCCTGGAACAGAGAAACCTCCGCTGTGTCCGATAAAACAGGATAGAGGTGGAGGCCTCCCTTGCTCCTGGCTCCTGGCACCTGCTGTCCTTCCTGGCTTGGCTCAATCTTGTTTTTCTTCCAGAGGGTGGTGTTGTTTTGTTCCCTTCTTTTGGCTTTGCCTCCCTTGCTCCAGTAGAGCTCAGTGAGGGTGAACTGCACCCATGGAACTAGAGAGCAGATCTAAAAGGCCACCTACCCCATGCACCTATGCGCCTTGGCTCCAGAGTGCATGGGGCTACTGCCCAGAGAAACAAGCTGGATTGGAGAGGCAGAGGTAGGGCTCTGGGTTCTTGGGTGTCTGAATTGGCATATGTCTATGTCTGAGTGACTGCTGGCAAATCATCTGAAACCAGCATATTTCCTGTGCTTGGGATTCCCCCACCCCATCCCTACCACACAGGGCTCTTGGTAGTGGGAGTGAGTCTGATGGTTGTAAGGAAGACAGTCTTGACTAATCTGTGAAACTAAAGTCAGGTTCTGACCTGACACTCCATGGGTTGTGTTCACAATGTGACATGCTGTGGGTGGGTGGCAGCCTGGGGCTAGAGTGGCAGGATGCTAACATTCCATGGCAGCCAAGTGGCTGATTTGTGGAGGACCTGGTTGCAGCATGGCTGGCCATAGATGAGGTGGATGAGACCCATAGCCAAGGGTGACTCGGCATGCACAGCGTCTGAGTGCTCATACTGTCTATTATAAAAACACCTCCCTGTACTGACCATATCTATGATGTTAACCTACATTCTAACCTTCAAGGTAAATGGAGCTCAGGTGTGGAGCTCAGCTGAAGCTGATGCCAGCACAGGTACCAATCATCCTACAATAACATATATCATGTTACATGCTGAACTTGGTGATGAGTCCTCCCACTTTTGTTGTTTCAGCAAAGTTTATTCTTAGGATCTTCAGCATCTGATTGTGTGACTTTGCAATATGTCACCTTGCCCAAATTTCTTCTACCTGTTAGCTGCTAAACTTTAATCCCTCTTATAGGCTTCACGGTGTCTTTTAATATATATGCCTATTTCCCAACCTCTAGTGTCTGGAAGTAGGCTCTTCACAGAGGCAATCAAGTGAAGAGGGGCTCATGGTGGATTAAGGTGGGTCTAATCGTGACCGGTGTCCTTGTAAGAAGAGGAAGTTGGACATAGACACACAGGGAAAGACCCACATGGTCATGCAGGGGAGGCAGAGATGACACGGCCACAAGTCAGGGCAGGTGAAAGATCATGGAACCATCAAGAGCCAGGGGAGGAGAGGACACATTTTCCCTCTGACCCTTTGGAAGGAACAAACTCTCAAAACCTGGGAGAGGATCAACTTCTGCTGTGTAAACTGTCCATTGTGTGACTTGCTGCAGAAGTCACAGGAAGCTGACCCGTCCCCACAACCAGCTATGGACTAAGGTTAACATATGCCAAAAGTGGTAGAGAAAGAACAAAAAAAAAAGGGTAATTTTTGAGACTAAGGAATTTCCAGACTATCATGAACCAGTAAGCAGTCTCATTTCCTCCTAGAGAAATACCTGAAAAAGAAAGCTCAGTGGACCTTGACCTTTAAACATCAAGTAGCATCTTCCCATGGGCTCAGCGTGGGCCTCCCCGAGGCCTGGGAGACGATGAGAAACGAGACCTGGGGGCTCCCAAGTTTACTCCTATCCTCTCTAGAAGTTATGAGGTGATCTTCATGAGACCCCATGGGAGGAGCAAAGGACAGGGAGCTGAAGCTGCCACGCCAGGGGCAAGTGAGACTCAGTAGAGGAATCCTTGTGTGACTCTGGGGACTGGCTACCCAGACACATGCTCTCTGGTAACCATAATGTCAAGACATTCAGGCAACACACCCAGGATGAAAGAATGTCACCTGCTACTCAAAGAGATCTAGGTGATATAGCTATGTGCACACACTACAGAAGTGCACGCACAGGTATGTACACCTGTGCACACAAGCTCATGCATGTGCTCACAGACAGTGCACCCAGGCACAGTCACACACAGACTTCAGGTTATTATCCTTGCATTTAGAGAACTGATGGCCTGGTGGTGGTAAGTTTGGGAGGAATGGGCAGAGGATAAGCTTCTATACTGTAGAAAGTTCTGAAGAGAGACTCTGGAGAAGACACCTGGCAGTTTGTGGTGGTTTGAATAAGTATCCCCCCATAGGTGCCAGGAATTTGGACATTTGGTCCCCAGTTCCTGGCACTTTAGGAAATGTGGCCGTGTTGGAGGAAGCACATCACTGGGGGAGGGCTTTGAGGGTTCTTAAGCCTTGTTAGATTTCCAGTTTTGCTCCATTTCCCATGCCTGCTTGAAGATGTGAGCTCTCAGCTTTCTGTTCTAGTAACATCCTGCTGCCATGTTTCCCCCACCATTATGGACTCTTACCCTCTGGAACTGTAAGCCAAATAAACTCTTCCTTCTATAAGTTGCCTTGGTCACAGTGTTTTATCACAACAGCAGAAAAGTAACTACTATAGAAGTCCAATACATGGTCATACTGTGAGGTTGTAAGGTTTGTTACCAACATTCTAACTCAGCCTGGAAAACACTCAGGACAGTAATGGTATAGACTGTCACAGAGTGGTGCACCTCAGAACCATGTCCCAGCTAACAAAGCCTACCTTAGAAAACATATGTAAGAATGGAATTTGTGAATTCTGAATGCCTTAAACCCCACACGTCTGTGAGGATTTCTCAGCCGCCATCCCAGAGACCACATCCAAGCAGCCTTTGACCTTGGCTGTCCTGAGAAATCTATGCCCAATATTTAATACCCAAAGTAGCAACTAGCGTGCAAAGCAGAACATTCACTTATAGACCCCAGAGGCTGGACAGAGAACCACACACCTGCAGTCAGCAGAGCAGACCAAACCTGACTTGTCCATATGTGCAGGCAATGCCACTTTGATTGAAAACAAGCATGTGTGGGGCAGGGGTTGGGGGTGGGGATTGGGGGGCTGGGAATGTATCTCAGTCTGTAGAGTGCTTGTTTAGTATATATGAAGTCCTGAGTCTGAATCCCAGCACTACATAAACCAGGTGTGGTGGTGCCCATCTGTAATTTCAGCACTTAAGAGGTAGAGGTCAGAGGATCAGGAATTCAAGGCTGTCTTTAGCTGCATACATGGTG